CACTCAGTACTATATATGGCCATCCGGCCAAGGGAAGATCCATCCTGAAATATATACAACACTGACCATAAGTCATCCAGTACTAAAGAAAAAGGGCAATCCAACCCTGTGGAGAAATCCATGTCCAGGTATCAAGTACTTCGGACAAATCCATGTTCAAGAAAATTCATCCCTCAATAATATCATATGTGTTCACTGGGGGTGTATTACAGACTTCGGAGGGGCTCCTACAGTCCAAGCGCTATCATAATCATCAATATAACCGCTTCGGCGTGCAGTCTGGTCCCATAACTGTCACTCATAATCAGGCACTCGACCTCACTTAGTTATCAATCTCTCCAGTCTCACCCACGGGCTCACAATGTTATGAAAACAAACCCAAAACAATGATATGATGAATCAATAAATAACTGAGAGTGAGATACAATAAAAAAATGCATGAGCATGACCAAGTACAGAATATAAATGAAAATAGTAAGATGACAACAAGAAACGACCACTAAGGGTCCCAACAATACCGGCAAGAAACTTCAACATGATATCTAGCATGATTTACAGCTCAATTACTTTATCACATGATGAAAACATGGATATCAACGGGATATAGTCACTAAATGGTGCCATAGAATCACTCGTGTCACAGTTCTCACGGTTTACGCCTGCATGCCCACACACCCTTCACTTAGCATGTGCTTCACCTCAATACCAATCACATATCACATAATTTGGGGTTCCGAACCCTCAAAACCAAGTTTTGAAGCGTTATTTACCTCAAACCAATCAAAATTCTACTCTGCAATGCCTTGCCTTTCAAATGGGCCTCCAAATGTCTCGAATCTAACCACAAGCAATACAATACGATCAATATAGGCTGAAGGAATCAATTCCACAAGAAAAATACCAAATTATAACCAAAATCCGAAATCAGCTCAAACCCGGGACTCGGGCCCACGTCTCAAAATCCGACAAAAGTCACAAAACCCGAAAGTCTATTCACTCATGAGTCTAACCATACCAAATTTACTCAAATCCAATAATAAAATCCCATTCAAAATCTCAAAATTCTATCTCAAGAACACTTCCTCTTTTTCCTCAAATTTTCACCCCAAATCACAAATTAGATGATAAAATTAAAGATATAATCATGGAATTTAACCAAAACCAAGTGAGAAACACTTACCCTAATCATCTACGCGAAAATCCTTTTAAGAATCGTCCAAATCCGTGATCTCTAGCTCAAAATATGAAAAATGAGCTCAAGCCCTCGATTTTGAATTTAACACTGTCTGCCTAGATTTTCTTCTTCGCGGAAGCGACCGTCCTCTAGCGTTCTCGTAGATCAACTTAGACTGCCTCTCCGCTTTACTCTTCACGAACGCGATGTTTTACCAATTCAAACCTTCACGAATGCGACCCTTACCTCGCGAACGCGTAGGCTAAGGACCTGGGGTCCCCAACTGGCTCACTCCTCTTCGCGAATGCGACACCACTCATGTGTTCGCAATGCACACACTACCCTACCTTCTGCGTTTGCGTCCTCTCCTTCGCAAACGCATAGAACAAAAAATCCATCTAAAAAACACTCTTCGCGAATGCGAGGCCCCTCTCGCGAAAGCGTAAGAGGAAACCAAAAACAAAATAGAGCAGCAGACCAGTTTTCTCACCGAGGAATAAATGATCTGTTAACCACCTGAAACTCAACCGAGGCCCTCGGGACTTCAACAAAACAAACCAACACATCCCATAGCATCGTACAAACTTAGTCAAACCTTCGAATCACTCAAAATAATATCAAAACACCAATTTACACCCGGACTCAAGCTTAAAGAACTTCTAAACTTCCGAATTCCACAAACGACGTCGAAACCTACCAAACCACATCTGAATGACTTCAAATTTTGCGCACAAGTCAGAAATGACACCACAAACCTACTCCAACTTCAAGAATCCAATCCGACACTGATATCAAAATTTTCACTACTGGCCAAAATCGCCAAAATTCTAACTTTCGCCAATTCAAGCCTAATTCTACTACGGATCTCCAAATCACATTTCGGACACGCTCCTAAGTCCAAAATAACCTACCGGAGCTAACAGAACCATCAAAATTTAAATCCGAGATCGTTTACAGATAAGACAATATCCGGTCAACTTTTCCCACTTAAGCTTTCAATTAAGAGAATATGTGTCTCAGTTATTCTGAAATCAATCTGGACCCGAACCAACTAACCCGGTATATCATAATATAGCTGAAGAATACAAAAGAAGCAAGAAATAGGGGACGGGGCTATAACTTTCAAAACGACCCGTTGGGTCGTTACACTTCTTCACGATCGCAATTCATTAATACGCCCAATTATTATAAAGTACTCTATTTCTGGGGTTTCGGTCATTTTTGTATAATAGGAGCTATGAAGCTCGAAATGAGGCGATTTTTGAAGTGATTTTTACCATATGGATTGGGGTAAGTGTTTTCTACTTGGTTTTGATTATATTTCATGAATCTATCCTCGTTTTAAGCATTTGGTTGATGATTTCAAAGAGAAAATTGGGGATTTTTGACTAAATTTCATAGAGTGAATTTTTGAATTTTGAACATCGACTCAGAGTCGAATTTGAGTGAAACTAGTATGGTTGGACTCGTAATTGAATGGGTTGCCGGATTTTATAAGTTTTGTCGGGTTCCGAGGTATGAGTCCGGGTTTGACTTTTTGGTTGCATTGGGTTTTTGATTAAAGATTCGCCCTTTATCGATTGAAGTTGTTTCCTTTAGCATTATTTGATGTTCTTGAGTTGCTTTTGGCTGGTTTTGAGCCGTTCAGAGGCTGGCCACACGGGATGGCATTTTTAGAGCATCTTTTGGCTTGCTCGGTGTTGGATTTGGCTTTTTTGAGGTACGCAACACTTCTAAACTTGGTACTGAGGGTATGAAACCCCGAATTACGTATTATGTGATTGATATTGAGGTGACATGCATGCTAGGTGACGGTCGTATGGGCATGCACCATGTGAATTGTGATTTAGACGATTCTATGAAACTATGTAGCTATCTTATATAAACACTTTTATTGTACTCTATTTGTTAGAGTACTTGATTTTTAATTTATGCTAGAAATCATGTTTAGGCTATATGCTGATACTATTTGGACCCACAATGGTCGTTCTTTGTTGTTGAGTTATTTGCTTAATTGTAGTTATGTACTCAGCCGCATTCATCATTACATATCATATCTCAGTCTTTGTTATCGTATATTATCACATATTATATCATTGATTAATGATGCTTAGCATAAGTGATGTGAGCCCGAGAGACTGGAGAGATTGATGACTGAGGGAGACCAAGGGCCTGTTGTGAGTGATATTTATGGGATCAAGTTGCACGCTGCAGCAGGCTTTATTGATTCATGCCATGATTTAGCTTATTATAGCGCTTGGTTTAGATCGGCCCCTCCGAAGTCTGCACATCCACAGTGGCCGCAATTGCTATGGATTTTTGGGTTGGATCTTCCGTGGATTCATTTGCATTGGGCTGGATTTGCCCTTGATTTATTTATGTTTGGGTTGGATTTGCACTGTACATTACCGAATGACTGAGTGTGCTGAGTATTGAGCATGATGAGTGAGAATATGAGACCGTGAGATTGACTACTCTGAGAGTGTGAATACATGAGTTCATTACTAATATGCATTGCATTTGACATGCGTACTTGAGACACAAGCATAGAGATGTATTTCCTCATTCTACTTGGTTTTAGTGGCATTTATGATTTCACTTTCTTGTCAGCATATAGGTATAGAGATGTACTTTCCTCATGCTATCTGAAAATGAAACATCTTAATTATTATTGAAAGATTTTTGGAAAAAATTACCGTTTTCAAACTTACTCATATTTTTTGTATTTTTGGTGAAAGAATTGGGATTTGCTGTTATGCTTGAAAAGCATGCTTATTTTTTCGTAATTGTTAACGAGTTGAGCATCTTATCTCTGAGTTATTTTCTTGTACCATTTTTATTATATTGTTATGAAACGTGGCTGGTTGTTGGAGTGGGACTCTGACCCTTATCCCAGCTCATCACTACTTTGAACTTAAGGTTAGGTTTGTTACTTATTAAGTACATGTGGTCGGTTGTACTCATACTACACTTCTGCACCTTGCGTGCAGCTATGGGATGTTGATGTGCTGCGTACGACAGGAGCTAGATATGAAGATGTATCTGCATTCCAGTTATGGCTATCTTGTGCTTGGCAGCATTAGATTCGAATTCTGTTTATTTACATTTCAAACAAATGTTGTAATTATTTCAGTTCAGTCTCGTAAAAATCTAAATCTTAGAAGCTCATGATTTGTACTACCAGTCCTTGGGAAATTCTTATATAAAAGCCTAGTGGGTTGAGCATCTTATCTCTGAGTTATTTTCTTGTACCATTTTTATTATATTATTATGAAACGTGGCTGGTTATTGGAGTGGGACTCTGACCCTTGTCCCAGCTCATCACTACTTTCAACTTAAGGTTAGGTTTGTTACTTATTGAGTACATGGGGTCGGTTGTACTCATACTACACTTCTGCACCTTGCGTGCAGCTATTGGATGTTGATGTGCTGCGTACGACGGGAGCTAGATCTGAAGATGTATCTGCGTTCCAGTTATGGCTATCTTGTGCTTGGTAGCGTTAGATTCGAATTCTGTTTATTTACATTTCAAACAAATGTTGTAATTATTTCAGTTCAGTCTCGTAAAAATCTAAATTTTAGAAGCTCATGATTTGTACTATCAATCCTTGGGAAATTCTTATATAAAAGCAGTTGGATTGTCATTTCTTCTTTTAATCAATCTCATCAAATTGGATAGTTGTTAATTGACTTACCTAGTGAGTTGGGTTAGATGCCATCACAACTAGTTGGATTTTAGGTCGTGATAATAAAAATGAGAAATTGTGAGGAAAAAACATGTGTGAGAAAAATAATAAAGAAGAAATATAATTGGGAGACAATGACCTAGTAATTAAACATGAAAGATGTTCTATCAAGATGGAATAGTAATACAACCGCTTATTTATTACACTCGTTTAGGACTCAAAAAAGGACACACACAAAGAGGAAAAAAGAAAACAAAAGGGACGAAATACAAACGGATCCATAAGTAAATAAGATCAAAGCAGACAATCCCATCTCTTATTCTTCTTCTCCTCATTATTGCATACTACCAAATTGTGCGGTTGTAAACTCAGATTGTTCCTCCTCCTTACTCGATCCTGCATCACAAAATCAAAGAAATGCAAATCAATATACAAACTTCCATTAAAAAAAAAATATTGTTTTACCAAAAAAACCAATTTTGGCCAAAAAAAAAAAAAAAAACTTGGCCAAACAGGCTATTAAGACCCAAGATAAAGAAACCCTTCGTTCACATGTAAGACAATAAGCAAACCGCATCTTTGGCATTATTAACTATAAAATTGATGCTGTTTAAATAAGTACATATATTTATTGTATGATCTTCAATTTATATTAGTAAAAAAAAACGCAGGAACTAGTAAGAAAATTTAATCATCCATCTCATATTTCGTCTCATTTGGCTATTCAATGGAGAGATTTATAGCCTATTTGGCCGTGCTTCATTTGGCCAAAACTACTGTTTTTCAAAGTTAAGATGTTTGTAAAGATTTTAGAAGTATATATAAAAGTACTTTATGAGTAGAAGTACAAGCAGTTTTCGAGAAATAGAAAAAAATAATTTTTATCTCATAAATATTTTTTTCTGAAAAGCATTTTTAAGAAAAATACACTTAGAAGTAATTTTTAGAAGTTTGCCCAAACACTAATTGTTCAAAAATATTTTTTGAATTGATTAATCAAACACTTGACTGTTTTTCACTAAAAGTTACTTTTTTGAAAAGCAACTTTGATAAAACATTTTTCAAAATAAATTGATTTTAATGGCACGACCAACATGCTACTATTAGAAGCAATAATTGATGTGTCTACAGAGAGGGAAAGAAGGTGAATTACTTGGAACAGTCAATGTCAGCACTGACAGTGTATGGAAGATTGACACCACAGGCACTTGGAAGATCACCAACTCTACTCCAATCAAGTCCAATGATAGTTTCACCAGCAGCTTTTAGGCAAGTGCATGCAGTTTGACGGTCAGTTGTGGTGGTGGCAACGGCCTCTAATTTCTTGACGCCATCGCAACAGGTTCCCAGAAGCCCAGTTTTTGTAAGGAAAGGTACACAATCTTTGAGGTATGCGTCAACCTCAGTGCAAGTTAGGGCTTCTACGCTGTGCGCAGCTGCCACTATGCACAAAACCAAAAAACAGGCAATCTTTCCGGCCATTTCTGTTGTTTGGAGAGATGGTGATGAAGTGATAGAGAGAACAGTAAGAAATAATACTCTTAGTTCTTTGAGCGCTGGGTACGGAAAACTCTTGGCACCTTAGGGTTTTTGTAGGGAAGAGGATTGAGTTTGAGTGGAAGAACTAATGGTGTTAGGCTAATTATTTTTATTTATTTATATATATTGATTTATATTTTAGTACCTACTTGCATGGAACTATTCGATGAACCATGCATGTTAGGGTTTTGGGGTTTGGGCACTATAAAAGTAAAACCCATGCATAGAGATTTTCTTTTTGTTATTTGTTCAAGAATTCTCTTTGAATCAATTTCAGTGCCTACTTTTGTAGCCAAAACAAAGTCCGAAGGAATAAAAATACCCCAAACAATTTAGGCAGCAAAAGCGACATAGAAAGGAATTTATCAAACAAGAGAAAGAATATAGCACGAGGCTTTTTTATTTACTCATAAACTGTTGAATCATTCTATATTAGCGGCGGATGTAGCGTTCATTTATCGGATTCATCTGAATCTAGCCTTCAATGTGGAGTATAAATTTATGTGTAAAAATCCAGTAAAATAACAATAAATAGTAAATATGATCCCCCACCTTTTTTAAAAATATAATGCGTTTAAGGCTAAATACTTTAAAGAAAAAAAATTGAACCTACAGAACTTAAATCCTAAATGTGCCTCTGGTCCACATCATAGCTACCTCTCAACCTAAGAAAATCTATAGTAATCCGCGTTTATAATACGACAAAATCAAATTTGACTAGAAACTAGCAACATATTCCTACATAACATTGACAACAAAACCTAATTAGACATGAATTAAATAACTAGCACATACCAAATCCTAGACAGTTTATGATTCGTAATTAATCTTGATTTAATTTCCAACAAAGTCGAATATTCGAGAAATTTCTGATTTGCACAGTTTAATGGGTATTAGATATTTATGCTCATTTTTTACATCAATAAATTAAATTAAGCATACCTTATTTTTAGGAGATCAGAAAAAGACCATGTGTATAACGATTTTTGTTGTAGAAAAATCCTCCTTTTCTGGAGATTAAAATACGTGGAAATTGGAATATATAAATCCCTTCAACGTGTAAGCTAAACGAAAGAAACATGCAATAGAGAGATACTGGATGGAATCATTCTCAATTATTTCAGTTGGTGGAAAACACTATTAATCGTCCAAATGAGAAATGAACCAAAACTCAAATAAAAGAACTACAGCTTTTTCATTCATCCAATTAGGTGAGCAAAGGTGCTTCCTTTTTGGGATTGGCAATCCCTTGCTCAGCGGCATATTCTCCAACACATTAGCTTGGGTGTATTTGGTATAATAGAAATTCAATATTTATTATAAAAACTATGCTTTTGAAAAATATTTTTCCGGTACTTACTTGGTGAAAACAAAAGTTCTTTTGGTGGAAAATAAATCTTTATTCAATCATCCCAAACCAAACATACATATTTCTCACCATTCCTTCCTCTGTCATTTTTATACCTTAGTTATATTCCAATCTATCTATATGTTTCTATATATTCCGTATCTATCTATCTATTTTGTTTCTCGATCCAGCTTATCTCTTTTTTGATCTTTTTCTTCTTCTGTACAGCTTCCAAACATCTATATGTATCTGCTCCAGTATAGCTTGTGGTCTTGGCACTTTTTTCATCCAAATTGCTTCATTTTTGACTTTCCATATGTGATAGATGACTGCTGCCAGCACTGCCTGTGTGAATGATCTTTCTATGTTCCCTTTTGCTATTCTTGTCATCCTTCTCCATATCCCTGTCACCTCTGTGTTCTTAATGTTCATACCAAGCCATTTGAGCACTTCAGCTAAGCACATCTTAGAGAATATGCATTAAAAGAATAGGTGGTCAATTGATTATGTTTTTCCTTCACATAGCATACACTCACTGTCCTCAGTAATTTTCATTCTCAATGTTCTGTCTTTTGTTAGCAGTTTCCTTTGCATTGCAAGCCAGCAGATGAAGCTGTATTTAGGAGTATTCATTTTGTTCCACACCCCTCTGCTCCAAGCCCATTATTCTAGCCTTCCTCTTCTCTAGTGGTAGCCACTCTTAATTGTGTATTTTTCTGTCCTTGTTTGCCTTTCATTTTCTATATAACCTGCTGCATATGTATCACGTATAGAATATATTCTCCTCCAGTACCAGCAGCTGTCTTGTGGGGGATTATATTGCCACCAGTTATCTCCTTTCAGATAGATATGGTTAATCCATTTAACCCACAGAGTGTCTTCTTTATTTACGATGTGCCATACATACTTAGCTACAACAGCTTCATTCCATATTAAGCACTCCATAATTCCCAGCCCTCCTTCTCTTTTTGGTCTACAAACAAGGTCTCATGCAACCAATGGCACTTTATTAAACGTGCCTTTCCCAGCCGATAAGTAGTTCCTACATATTGCCGTAATGTCTTTAAGTACCTTCTTTGGTAGGATGAATATTGCTGCCTAGTATGAATGTATATTTATCAGAACAGAGCTGATCAATTGGACCCTTCCTGCATATTACAAGTTTTTTGATCTCCATGAATGGATTCTTGTACTGAGTTTGTCAACCAGCACTTCACAATCTCATGCTTTCAGTTTCCTTGAAGCTATTGGCACCCCTAAGTATTTGAATGATAGCGTCCCCTGTTTGTACCCCGTTATTTCACATATACCTTGTAAACATTATCTATCCATGTTTGCACTATATACATTAGACTTTCCACCATTAGTACTCAACCCAGATGTATTAGATAAAGTTTGCAAACCTCTCATCATAAGCATTATACTTCAATACTCACCTTTATAGAACATCAAAACATCATCTGCGAAGCTTAGATGATTTAACTTCAAACTTTTGCATTTTGTGTGAAATGCAAATCTATCTAATGTAGCTACCCATTGCATAATTCTTATGAAGCATTCCATACATATCACAAAAAGAAGAGGTGATATAGGGTCTCCCTATCGTAATCCCCTTCTCCCCTCAATACATCCATATAGTCCTTCATTTAAAGCAATCGAGTATTGGGTTATTGAGATGCATACCATAGTCCATTTGATGAATTTGGAAGGAAAGTTCAATGCATATAACATTTCTTCTACAAATCCCCACTCCACAGAGTCATATGCTTTTTTTAGATCAATTTTAATCAAACAACTGCTTGTTAATTTCTTCTTGTTTACAATTTTACCAGATCATGACATATCAGGATATTTTGAACTATACTTCTGCCTTCCACAAATGCACTTTGGTTCTCTGCTATTATTGAAGGCAATACACCTTTTAGCCTGTTACACAACACCTTTGATATTATCTTATAGACAGAATTGAAACATGCAATAGGTTTATAGTCCCCTACTTCAGCTGCATGGTTATTCTTTGGGATAAGAGTTAGAGTGGTTCTGTTAATAATCCTGAACATTTTTGTAGTGTCAAAGTACTCCATTACACTTCCAATGACATCTTGTTTTACCACTGGCCAACAATCCTTAAAGAATTGAGATCCATAGCCATCAGGTCCTAGGGATTTGTCTCCTATAATTGACCACAAAGCTGCCTTGATTTCCTTGTCTGTAACTGGAGCTTCCAGTTGTTCTCTTTGTTCCGGTTGAACCACTGGTCCTTTCCTTACTAGATTGTTGCACACATGTTGTCTGTCTCCTTTGCTTTCCCCCAACAACTTCTTGTAGAATTTTATAAATGCATCTGCTATCCCTTCAACATCTATTGTCTCCTTCCCTTCAACATCTTTTATAGAGAAAATCCTGTTAGCATTCCTTCTGGCTTTTATCACACTATGGAAGTATTTTGTATTTTGATCCCCCTGCCTCATTTGATGCTTTCTTTCATCAATTTGATTTTCTCTTCAATTGATTCAACATTTCTAGGATCGTTTTGGATCTTTTCTTGGCATTCTGTCAAGTTTACCATTGCTGTTTCAGCTCTTTTTTCTACATCTAAAAATCTCTCCTTGTTCAATCTTTCTAGTACACTTTTGGTTCTGTTCAGCTTTCCTACCAATTTGTACATCTGTGTGCCTTGTATCTTCTTCTCCCATACTTCTTGTACTCTTGTTTGAAATTCTGGTATCACACTCCACATGTTGAAGTATTTGAATTGCCTTTTCCTCCTGCATTCCCTCCTTCTTAGTTTATGATTGGTGGGTAGTTATCATAGATGCCCTCAATCATGAAGTGCACCTTTGCTGCAGGTAAGTCAGTCACCCATTTAGTATGAACCAGCACTCGATCTATCCTGCTGTACACTCGACTGTCTCCTCCTTGTTTGTTGTTCCATGTGAAGAAAGCTCCTGAGGATCTAAGCTCCTTCAGACCACACACTTCTATACATTGTCTAAAATCTCTAGTTTCAGCCATAGTTACTTTACTTCCAATTCTTTCCTCCCTATTAAGAACACAACTAAAGTCTCCCATCACATCCCATGGTACATCCATTTTGACCCTATCTGATTGGTGTCATCCCATAGTTTCCTCCTAGATGCTTGTTCATTAAAGCCTTATACAAGAGTAACATTAAGACTCTGTCCATTCTCCCTATGCTTTACTGTGCTATAAATCATTTGTTCAGTAACTTTTTTTATGTCAACCTCATATAATTGAGGTTTCCACAACATCCAAATCCTACCTCCCGGATGTTTGTCTAGATTTGTTATAAACGACCAACCATGACAAAGATAAAAAGAAGCTTTTTGTACCTTAGCTCTTTTTATCATTGTTTCCAGAAACCCAAACAAGTCAACTCTCAAGTTGTGGATAAACATGTTCATTTCTTTCTATTTATCTGGCTTGTTTAGGCCTCTAGCATTCCAAAACCCAATGCTATCCATTAGGGTTGGGGTTTCCCCCACCCTTCCCATGTCCAGGGCCCCCCTCAGCTTCACCTCCTCCATGGCAGGAAGGTTTAGCTATTCCCTCATTTCTGTTGCTCTGTTCAACTAAAGCTGAAAATGAGTTTCCAGTAATAATTTGATGTTCTCTAATCACTATCCCTTTCCTTGCATTACCTCTCCTGTAGTAGAAGTTATCCTGTATTTGTTTCCCCATCACTTGTTTCCCTGCCCTTTGTTGGAACTTCTC